AGGTTGTCTTTTCTTAAGATTTGGGGTTGTGAAGCATATTTCAAGAGATTAATTTCTGACAAACTTCACCCAAAATCAGATAAGTGTTTCTTTGTGGGCTACCCAAAAGAAACCAAGGGGTATTACTTCTACAATAAATCCGAGAACAAAGTGTTTGTTGCTCGTGATGGTGTCTTTTTTGAGAAGGAACACCTTTCGAAAATGACAAGTGGGAGGAAAATCGAACTCAACAAAGTTCGAGAGGTATAGCAACAAAGTCAACATGACAAAACTGACAATCAAAGTGCTTTAGAAGTAGTTGTTGACATTGGTCAGAGTCAAACCGACAATGCAAATGCTCAACCTATTATACCCTGTGTAGGTCGCAACGGCCAAGATCTCAACCAAACGGATACCTTGGTATTGTGTTAACCGAAGATCAAGACATCCTAGTTATGGATGGAGATGAGCAAGCGACATACAAACAAGCTATGACGAGCCCCGACTCTGCTAAATGGAAAGAGTCCATGAAATCCGAGATGGACTCCATGTCTCAAAATCAAGTATGGGACTTGGTTTATTTGCCCGAAGGTTATACACTTATCGGTTGCAAATGGATTTTCAAATTGAAAACAGACAAAGATGGAAATGTATCTATATACAAAGCTAGACTGGTGGCAAAAGGTTACAGGCAAATTCACGAAGTAAATTATGATGAAACCTTTTCACTAGTTGCAATGCTTAAGTCCGTCCGAATAATCCTAGCGATTGCTGCATATTACGATTATGAAATATGGCAAATGGATGTCAAAACCGCCTTCCTTAATGGGATTTTGGAAGAAACTGTGTATATGACACAGCCGGAAGGTTTTATTGATCCAAGAAATGCTGGGAAGGTATGCAAGCTTAAGAAGTCCATTTATGGACTCAAGCAGGGAAGCAGAAGTTGGAATCTGCGATTTGATGAAGCCATTAGTAAGTTTGGTTTTATCAAGAATCTAGATGAGTCTTGTGTCTACAAGAAGGTCAGTGGGAGTGACATCGCATTCCTAGTCTTATATGTCGATGACATATTACTCATTGGAAACAACACTAAACTGTTAGAGTCCGTAAAGGGCTGGCTGGGAAAGTGTTTTTCAATGAAGGACTTGGGAGAGGCACAGTACATATTAGGCATCAAGATCTATAGGGATAGATCTAAGAGGATGATTGGATTGAACCAAAGTACTTATATAGATAAGGTACTGGCACGATTCAACATGGAAGGGGCCAAGAGAGGGCACCTACCCATGTCCCATGGCATAACTCTCAACAAGAAACAGTGTCCACAGACACCTGATGAGCGAGAGAGAATGAGTCTAATTCCATATGCTTCGCTTATTGGATCGATCATGTATGCCATGACATGTACTAGGCCGGATGTATCGTATGCCTTAAGTGCTACGAGCCGATACCAATTAGACCCAGGAGAGGCACATTGGACTGCGGCCAAGAATATCCTAAAGTACCTGAAAAGGAACAAGGATAAATTCCTGGTCTATGGTGGCTGTAATGAGTTGGTTGTTGAAGGTTACACTGACGCGAGCTTCAAGACTGACAGAGACGACTCCAAGTCGCAGTCGGGGTACATATTCTGCCTTAATGGAGGAGCGTTTAGTTGGAAGAGTGTTAAGCAAAGCACCACTGCAGATTCTACAACTGAAGCCGAATACTTGGCAGCTATGGAAGCAGCTAAGGAGGCAGTTTGGATTCGTAATTTCATTGGTGAACTTGGTGTTGTACCCTCAATCAAGGGTCCAATAGACCTCTATTGTGATAACAATGGAGCTATTGCTCAGGCTAGGGAGCCAAGGGAACACTAGAATGTCAAACATGTCAAGCGGCGATTTCACATGATAAGGGAATGGAAATCCGAAGGTGAAATCAGAATTTGTAAGTTTGGAACGGACGACAATGTAGCCGATCCTCTGACTAAACCTTTGTCTCAAGTGAAGCACAACAAGCACGTTGAGGCAATGGGAATCAAGCACATTGGAGATTGGCTTTGATTTCCCTATATAGATGTTTTAATTAAACTCGATGTTTTAATGTAAAACACTATGTTAAACCATTCAATTTTGGAGCAATTAAATTTTCTACAAATTTATGATTACTCCATATCTATTTAATTGTGGTTTAGAATTATATAATGAGTCCATTAGATTTTGAGAATATTCAAAACAGGGTATCAAGACCATATCTTGGATAAAGAAACACCTGTTAAGTGAACATTGAATATTTTAATCGAAAATTATCCCTAATCGAAGTCATTTAAACGATGGACGATTAATGACCACTTAAGATTAGTGTGTAGTATGATTTATAGCACCGTTTCTTGTGCTACAAGGACATGATAGACATAAATCATTTGCACAGGTACTAGTTTGGAACTATACCGGATAGACCTATGAGAATACTATAAGAGATATCAAATCGTCATAAGTATATTTCTCATTATAGCTATCGGAACCTTTTTCCTCGACCATGAGTATTGCAAGTTCTCTTGTTTGAGTACTAGTCGTTTTGATGTTGTCAAATGTCTGCCGTAAATGGGGATTATAACGGCAGCACTCAGGCGACTAGGTCCTCTTAGTAAGGGAAGCTTATAGTACAAGACTGGGAATGTCCCCCTATTAACAATAGGGAATATGTATTTGTTGTTTACAAGGCCTCTCGATGAGCGAGACTGTGAAAATGCATGGCCGTGCTAAGATGGATTAGAAATTATCTGTTTATTGACAGTCGAACTCGGGAATGGAGAAACACTTCTGGACGTAATAAGGAAGACGAAGAATCTTACCTTATAGTTCATGAAGAGACATTAAGCGACATAGGAAAGGGGCTATACACACATTCCACACTTGTCCGTAAGGACAAGTGGGAGATTGAAAGGAATGGTGTCCTTCCAACAAGTGTATTATTCCAATAGAGGGTTCAGAATTATTGGATAGCTAATTCTTCATTAAGGTCAAGTGATCGGAATGCCTAGGTGGAAGCCGGTTCCGATCAGTATTATTAATGTACAATTAATATTACAGCTTAATCTTGACTGAACCCTTCGAGTCGAAACCAATCAAACAACCGATCCGAGACAACGAGTCAATCCGAAGGATTTGATGAGTCGTTAGAGTTTTACGAAGAAAGACGTCGGATATTGAGCTTAGAGTGTCGAGACCGAGCGTCGCAAGTCGAGTCGAGTCGAATTTGGAATTCGACGAGACGTGAAATCAATCAAGTTACAAGTTCGAGCCTAGCCGTAGCCTCAGATTGGCCTAGCCATGTGAGTGCTAGGCTAGGCAAGACCCATCGCAATGTTAGTCGCAAGCCTAGCATGCTAAGCGTGCTAGGCCCATGTATGCTAGCTAGCCACCGCAAGCATCGCAGCCTTGCATGTGTGCTAGCACGCCATGCGCCCAAGCATTGCAAGGCTAGGCCTTGCTAACATGCTACGCACTGGCGCAAGGCATGGCCTAGCACTGCTCACCTAGCCATCGCAGCCACGCACCATCGCATAGCAGCATGCTAGGCGTACTGCGCTATGCGTTATGCTAGGCAGTGGCACGCACCAAGTCCCAGCCATCGCTAGCCGCAAGCATCGCATACGCTAGCAGCGTGCTACGCTATGCATGCTTGCTAGCCAAGCTGGGCCTGGCATTGCTGCCCAGCATGCGTGCTAGGCATCGCATGGCAGCAGCCCTGCGCTTCGCACATCGCAAGCACCACACACTAGCCAGCAGCGTGTTAGGCATGCCGGGCTGTGCGTGTGTGCTAGCAAGCAGCAACACACTATGCCTCGCATAGCAGCAGTGCCCAGCATGCGTGGCTCGCTAGCAGCACGCATGCACTGGCTGGATGCGCATGTGGGCTGGCTGTGCGTGTGGGGTGCTAGCTAGTTGGCCAGTCTGCCCAGCCTTGGTGCTAGGCGCTAGCTGGTAGCCTTGGCAGCCAAGGCAGGCTGCCAGCCAGCCACTTGGATGGGAGAGGCGGTTTGCTAGTGAGGACCAAGGGGTGTGAGCTTTGCCTTGGGGAGGAAGGCTATGGTCCCCCCCCTTTGGAAATGGTCCTCACCTAATCTCTTATCCTCCTTGTGCCACTTGTAACTTATTGATTGAATTGCAATTTTATTTTTGTTTTAATTAAAATAAAATGGGAAAATTGTTGAGAGTGGGAGGTCTAGGTTCATTTCCCTATAAATACCAAGGTTTTGGGATTTGGGAAAAACACTTGAGTGGAACTAAAAAGGCATCTCCTTCGAAAAGTGAGAAAACCTTAAGTTCGTAAAACTCTAGTTTTTATTGATCAGATCTCGACTAACCTTCGGGACTTAAATCGTTCAGGTCGGGTTTGTGGGTACGAGCCGTCGGAGACCTTCGCATTTGCGGGGTTCAAGTTTTGAAGTAAGAGCTCGGGATTCGAGAGAAGCACGCGTCAAAGGTAAGAATGTCTTTTCTTGTCTATCTTAATTGTTGTTTTATTAGTGATTGCATGCTTAGTCACTTTAATTAGTGTGCGGGTCTTGGGTGGGTTTCCCTTCTGCGTAGAGTCGGACTCTACGAAACCCAACAGTTTGAGGAAGTGGGGAACAACCGATAGGGGAGAGGCGCCGTGGCGAGAGGGAGATCTGGGTGTGCGGCAAAGAGTAAGGGCGGGAACAAGTCGAAGTGGACTGATGGGAATGGTGGCCAGTGGGTGGTGGGTGGTGGTTGGGTTTTCGTGGCTGGGGTTTTTCTTATTTTTAAAAGTTTTTTTTAATTTTTTAACATATCAGGTGGTGAAACATGTCACTAAACAAAAAAAAAATTACCTCTTTAACAGGTTACCGGTCAACTGGATCATTTTGAGCGAATAACCCCCAAAGTTCAAATTATTTAAAAATAATTCAATAATGTTGGGATTATTTTGAGCGAACCTGCGAAAGTTTGGATTATTTTTAACAATTTTTCCTTTAATTTTGAGCTACAAGATATTTATATCTCAATTACCTTAGTCTCCTCCCATAAGTTTTGCTTTTGAAATTTATCCATCTTTGGATATCCCTTCACATTAATGTCAATTTTTTAGCACTAGTACCAAGTTGTTTCCCATAAGCAAGTTCCCTCTCTTCGGTAGGCATGTCAAACTCATCAAATTGGAGGAACATACGTGTAGTTCTTTGGACTTCTTCTTTAGATGGGCCTCGTCCCTTTCTTGTATATGATTTTCCATGGGAAGTGGAGGCATCCATGTCACCAGATTGTCCATGTTGAGCATGATCATCTATGTTTTCTTCCACTATTTTATGCCCTACACCTGCATGAGGAATTAAATTATAATGTAAACACTTTATAATAAAGCAAGTAATGATTTAAATATACAAATTTAATAATTTCAATATTTCTATTAAAAAAATGCACATTTATTGTTCAAGGAATTTGATAACACAAACCTCAGCTGTAGTACATCATAGGAACCTCCACTCCTTCCTCACGATCATACTCTTCATCATCAACAATATCTTCCCCTTATTGTAGAGGTTGCACTCCCATTGTTAAAGGTGGGATGCCATTAAACTGGTCATGCTCTTATTCGTCCACAAGAACTTCAAGAACTTCAACACCCACAATTTTACTTTTGCCTTCAACTACAACACGCCATTGCAGATCTATATTATCCTTGATGTAGAATATTTGTTTCGCTTGTGACGCTAATTTTAACACCCTAAAAATTCCTTCCTTTTAAAATACCTTCTTGACCTTTTTAAAATACAAAATAGGAAATTCTAAGACATTACCGCCACCATAATAACGGATAAGGCAATTAATCAAAGACACACAGCTGAAGTCTCACTTCAAAAACCAATTAACACAACTTTAAAAGTCAAACCAAATGGAAGTAAAATCAAACCAATGTCAAACGAAGTCAACCTACAACTTGGAACCATTGTAGGCCCTTTCAAAACCAAACTAAGTATATAAAACATTGCATTAGTCTCACAAGCAATCATAAATAATATTCAAAGCAAATAAAACACATCATATTCTTATGGAAACTAGACTAGGTTCGCTCTTTACTCATGCCTATCATGAATATGCTTCATCACCTGAAAAGCTTCTCTTTACTTTTTCCCCACTACTCGCCATTAAAAATGGGTCGTCGTAGGGCCAAGATAAAGACAAGGCCAAACAAACATACAACACACAATCAGCAATGCTGAGTACATAAGCGTAAACGAATCACACTAACATGCTTACATCCTAGCATCACACAACTTACCTTGTTGCACCTATTTACAAACATACAACATACAACACAATCAATGGATAATCAAAATTGCTTATTTAATTTGATTACGCATCGAACGGGTTTCCCACCAAATCCCTGCCCTAAATAAATTGCGATAAACTACTCCGGGAGCTAACCGAGTAGGCATAAATGCCACAGTAAAGTGACGGACCTCCTGCGCATAATAACAAAAGGAAAATACAACGTCTTGTATTCCTTGTAGAAGCTATGGCTAAATATAAAACCCCATAACTCCCCCCATGACAGAGGGTCTAAACACGGTCGTTAAATGCTTAAAACCTTATCAACAAAACTTATAAACACTCGACCAATCCTAAACGAAGTATAGGGTAAGTCAAGGATCAAACCATGAGGAATGGGAGAAAGGTTACTATAGCCTAAGGTCAGGCTATTTCGAAGAATAAGAAGGATGTTGAATATGATTAACTATGGTCACAAACAACTAGACTAAAGAGGGAATTCAATATCAAAAGCACTAAGGATTAGGGTCTACATACAATCTTGATAGTTATGCCAATTGAGGGGAAAATTGATTAACCAAATGTTGTAAAGGAGGATAGTAATTGCAATCAAGAGAATTCAAAAGGTTATCTCCTAGAAGTCAAGCTAGGTTTCCTCTGTGAATGACTAGCAAGAAGAATCACAAATCAAATTCAATCAATAAATGCAATCCCTAAATCAAGGGTTCATGTCATTAGGAATCACAATGCAGTCTAGCTTGAAAATCAAGGTTAGCTACTCCTTAACAATTCAACCACCTGCACAATTCTACCAACCAATTTAATCACATCATTTAATCAATCAAAATTCACCAATTAGCAATGATCCATCATTCATGTATGCTTCACCATCACCCTAGCAAGGAATCTACTCACTAAGCATGTTGAAATTAAAGAACCAAACTAAACTAATCATTAAAGTCATCATCATCATTGCAAATCAAACAATAAAGAATCAAACTAATCAATAAACTTGAAATTGCAACAAATAATAAAAATCAAATGCAAAAGATTGAATTAAGAAGAAGAAGAGTCTTACCAACTTTGATCAAATCAAAGAAATTGTGCTTGCATTCAAAGTAGAAGGAAATCAAATGTAGAAATCATCCAATTCTCTCAAGTTTCTCTCTCTAAAATCTAAGAACTAGAAAACAAACTTTAAAACTTCTCTCTTTAGCCTCCTTCAATGAATCAGTGAGAATTAACTCTCCCTGAAATAACTAACTAAGGAGAAATAAAGTAGACATCCAAAAGAAACTTGTACAGACGTGCTCTCTCTCAGAATGCGCGGTCACGAAAAATGGGGTATGGAACAGGGAGCTCAGGTGGCGCGCCCGCGCATGGAGTCTGCGCGCCCGCGCCCGATGAATGCGCGCTCGCGCCATTGGAACAGGGGACTTCCTCCGTGCGTTCTTCAATGCAAGAGGTGCGCTTCTCTTGATCGACATTGGGGATGGCAGTCCCAAAATGAGTTTACTGTGGGTTCAACATCATATTTTCATGTGAGCGCAGCATGAGGGCGCAAGCATCAAGTCTTGGAGTAAGCCATCCCTTGCTTTGGGAGCTATATGAGAGCTTCCACCTTGCACTTTGAGCATCTTCTAACTCGAGGAATCACCATGAAGGGCCTTGGACCTCACCTTAGACCTGAAAATAAGGGAAGGAAAACAAGTAAAAGAGAAAAGATGATAAATTCCACGAACATACAAGAAAAAGGTAGAAAAGACTAGAATGAGACCAACTAGAGAATAAAAGACTAAAACTAAGGGAAAAGGCATAAAGAAAGCTATTAAAGCAACTAAATCATCCCAAAATAATGCCATTTATGGCACTCATCAAACTCCCCCAAGCTAAACTTTTGCTCGTCCTCGAGCAAAAACAAAAGAAAGTAGGAGTAGGATGAAAGATTTATTCAAATAAGAAAAAGGAGAAAAAGGGGACAAGAATATACACTAACTCACTTTCATAGGAATCACGGTTGGTTTTAGCTACAACAAGCCCTTAAAACCCCAAAGTCGACAATGAGGACGAGTGAGGTCTCGTAAGGGTTTCCAAAGAGCTTAACCCATAACTCTCAAAGTAAAACGAGGCAAAGCATTAAAGGAAAAATAAAATCAAAAAGGAAAAATAACACAAATGGTTTTGAAATGGACCTTTGCAAATGACCAAATACAAATGAATGCACAACTTCCTAAACAAATAAGGGAATACACGTTCCAAGATACCCGAGGTTGATTAAAACATAAAATATGCTAAGCATAGAGAACTAATTAGACACAATTCACCTTCATCCCAAATAATCTTACCGCGTTCTCCTTACTAGTTTCAAATCCACCTTAAGTGAGGATCTCAATGATTCCTCGAAGGAACCGGAAAAGAAGAGATTCTAGGGCTACTCGACATCTTGACTATGCAAGCCGCTCCATAGGCTTGACTCCCATCTCCCTCCACCGACTTATGACTCAACCATAAAGGTCAAAAGGTTTGGAAAGGGTTATAACGTATAGGCAAAAAGGGTAAAGATAAGCTAAAATTTGAAAGTTGGTGGTATACCTAAATTGTGAAGCAAAGGGTGATCAATCCTCAACACTGTAATAAAGTAATCACCAAACAAAAACACCAACACCCCCAAGCTTATTCAAAGCAAAAATCACAAACGTATGTACAAAAAGAGTAAGAACGCTTCCCCCCAAGCTTAAATGGAGCATTGTCCTCAATGCTCTAAACTAGGGAGATCACACTTACATCAAAATATTTTTGCTTTTCATTTTTTTTTCATTTTTTTTTTTGGTTTCATTTTTTTCTTAAACATTTGCTTTTGCTCTTGATTATACTTTATTGCCTTGTCCTCGCCTCTTTTAACTATAGATGACTTTTTCAACTTGAATTCGCCATTATTCACACACTTTATATACAACACATACTTGCTTAGCAATAGAACCAAAAAACCATGCTCATATTCCCATAAGCACCAAAAAACTATGGACTAATTGCTTCACAAAAACCAAAGATGGGAGCAAATATGAAACAAATGGCTCAAAAGCTAGTGATATGGCTAGAAAAGAGGGTATACGGCTCAAATGGTTAGCAAGAAAGCAAATGTAAACCCAAAACCAAAAATATAAAATCCATTCCTAGAAAAGGAAAAATTACCACCCCAAAAAGATACCTTTGTCATTCTAAAATGGTTCGGTTGCGATCTCGGGAGATAAAAGTCAAGTTCTAGATAAAGTAAGCGATAGTCAAGGGTCCATGTACAGCTCAAACAATAAAGGTTGAAGGCTAGAAAAATGAAACCTCACATGGTTGTAGCAATAACTCACTATTAGCTTCAAATCCACTATAGGAAGCAACACCTTCTTACCACAAACAAGTAGACTAGGGCTTCAAGGTCCCAAAAGTTCTAAACACACTATCTTAGCGTACTCTATCCCAGAGTCAACCAAGCATATTCTCAAACCGTGCATACCATTACCATATAGGAAGTCATTCATTCAAAAATATAAGTCCAAATGGTATTATGTCCAATTCATAAGCGAATGTAATGAGAAAAACAAATAATGCCTCAAACAAAAATCTTTATGGAATTTTTTTATATTCAAAGGGAATAGAAAGAGAAAAGAAATGAAAAGAAGAAAGAAAAGGATAAGAAAAAGAAAAGAAGAGGAAAAGTAAAAGAAAAGCACAAAGATGCATGCAAAAGCATATAAATCCCAATCGACAAACAAGTGGTCATTCGTCTA